AGAAGAAGAAGAAAAAAAACCTTAATGGAAAAAAATCAATGAAAACAGGAAATCAAGAGAGAAAAATCAAAACCAAAAGCTGGTTCTTGGAAAAGATCAATGAATTGATGTCTTTGATGAGGTTACCTAAGAAAAGAGAAGACAAAGATCCCAATGATAGATGAACTATACTGTATACCTAAAATGTACCAATAAACTTAATGGAAAAAAAAAAAAAAGAAAAAAGGGGACACAAATTACACCAGAAATGAAAGAGACAGAACATCACTACAGATGACATAGCTATTAAAAGAATAATAAGGGAACAATATGAATAAATCTGTGCTAGATGAATGTGAGACCAAAGTGAACCTAAGAAATGAACTCCCCTTATACCCCTCCCCTTATAGAGTGCTGGAATTCCCCACAAGACAGCCGCTTGCTCTGCTTCTGTAAACATGCTTTATCGCTCCCCAGGAACAGATGGTGCCCGGCGCCTCCCTGTAACCACTGAACCCTGTAGCTACACAAGGCCCTATCCTGGCAAGATAGGTGGGATGAAAAAGAACTGGGTTGTGAAAAAATATTTCACAGCCGGCTGAAGGACATAGTGGCCTCTCCCTGAACTTCTTTGTTCGAGTTTCTTATAAACCTGTACTGTCCCCTGCTTCGGGGCTTCACTTCTCCTAGAGAGTGGAGTTCACGCGCGTAAATAAACTCCTTTTAGTTATAACTCTGTCTTTGTCCCGGTGTTTGGTGATTTCCTGGCTGGCGTGGCACAACAATGAAATGGACCACTTCCTTCAAAGATACAATCTTACAAAACTCACAAAGGAAAAAATAAACAATCCAACCAGGTCTAAATCTCTAAAAGATGCTAAATAAATAATCACCTTCCAAAACAGAAAGCACCAGGCTCAGTTGGGTTTGTTTACTAGTGAATTCTACTAAACATTTAGGGAAGAAATTAGACCAATTTTCTACAGTCAATGCAGAAGACAGAATCACAGGGAATACGTCCTACCTTATTTCATGAGGCCAGGATGTATACTATATAATTACAATTATGTAAAATTCCAAAAAAGGAAAAGTGATGTAGTCAGTAAAAAGACTAGGGGGTTCCAGAAGAGTAAGGAGGGGAATGATGAATACTCATTGCACAGAGGATTTGTAGGGCAGTGAAACAATTTGTTTTTTAAATTAGTGTATACTTGCAATACATCATAGTTACATTCATTTTAGGAGACAGGTACATGTATATAGCTTATCTTGATCATTTTCCATTCTTTTATCTCCCTCTCTACCCTCCCCTTGGTCCCCTTCCCTACTTCCAACAAGTCCCCCTTTTTGTTTCCTACCATCTCTCTTTGGTTTTACTCTTTTATGTTTAGGTTTCTCAAATAAAAAAACTGCTATATTTAACTTTCTTTTTTTTTATATTTATCTTTCTATTTCTGACATTTCACTTAACATTATGGTCTCAAGTTTCATCCATTTTCCTGCAAATAACATGATTTCATTGTGTATAGATGCCATGTTTTCTTTATCCATTTGTCTGATGATGGGCTATTTAATAATACTGATCTAAAGGTACAATATACTTTTTTAAAACTACAGACATAAAAATATTTATATATTCATTCTCTGTCCTCCATTAAGATAATTTTCACTGTACTTCTACAGACCATTTCTCAGCAAGTAATTATATCTTGATTTCTTGGATAATTTCACCAGAACATCTTTCAAATGAAAAATATGTCTATGTTGGCATTTCAAAAGTGCACTTATTTTCTGATTCTTATTGCCTTAGCCAATACCAGAATCATCATCATCTTCTTCTTCTTCTTCCTTCTACCTTCTTCCTCCTCCTCCTTCTTTTTTTTTTTTAAAGAGGGTCTCACTTTGTAGAGCAGGCTAGCTTTGAACTCACTATATAGCCCAGGCTGGCCTCAAACTTGCAGCCACCTTCTTTCCTCAGCCTCCCAAGTGCTGGGATTACAGGCATGAGTCACCTTACTGAGCCAGAATCTTAATGGTACATATATACACTATCATCTTAGACCTAACACATAATAAGCAGTCTTAAAATCAACACTTACAGAAAATCACCTTCTGTCAGGTAATGTTTACAAAATATAAGAATAATCATATAACTAGATAATATAAATCTGAAAAAAATATTTTTTAAAATCTGTGAATTTTGGCATTGAAAGGAACCACTGAGAACACTTATGTCATTTCCATCTATTTGAGATCTACTGCAAAAATAGTCCAAATTCATAATGTACAGTCCATGTCTTAGGATTTTTTTGACTTTTTGATGGTGCAAAAAACAATATGCATTTAGTAGAAACCATACTTTTTGATCTTCTCCTGGGCTAGCAATATGTACCACTATCCTCTTGTAATGCTGGGTAGTGGCAGCTGGCTGAAGCTTCCAATTAGCCACAGGATTGGGAAGGTAAATAGCCCATTCTCTATGATGCACTGGGTTGCTAAGCTATGATGTTCAATAGGTGAGAGGTATTAAATGTTGCTGACTTATAATATTTTCAATTTATAACGCGTTTATTGGCATGTAAACCAATAAAACACGATCTCCATACTTTACTACTGCCTAATTTCTAATATCATCCTTCAGCTCCTTACTAGACCCACTGTGTCAGCTGTGCAAAAAACTCCCCAGTCTTTTATTATTACTTTGTTAAATGCTTTCATAAATTGGTGTCCATGCTACTAATTTGTCTGAAAGTCACCATGACCCACCCACACTTAGTAAACAACTATTCATCTTTCATCACATCTTGAATCACAACCACACAGACAAAAGAATTCACGAAAAGTTTGAACTATGTGGGGTAATTCTAAGTACAAAAAGAAAACCTTAGTTGCGTTATTTGTCTAGTAAGTTTTTAGGTACTGTAGAATACAGCGTACAAATATATATGACTATTGTTGAGAACTAAGGTTTTATAATGGGAAAAGGGAGAGTAGAATATAGAATGAAAGAAAATACGGAAGAACCCTGCACTACTGGATTTGAATTGGAGGTATTAATGTGAACTCATTAGAAAAAAAAAAAA